TCCTTCCTCTTCTCTCTCTCTCTCTCTCTCTCTCTCTCTCTCTCTCTCTCTCGGCGTACGTACATTTCATTAATAGACCTTTTTTTCTGCATTCGCGATCATCCTTCGTAAATATTCGTGCGGCGAAGGTTCTATAGATATTCGCAATGAATCCCTGTTCCCCGGGGGATGGACGCGGAGCGAATGGGAGGGATGGGGTGCGTTAGGAAGTTTGAAGTATTTTTCTCATAAAGCTTTCGAGGTATCTAAAATATTTGCGACGATGCGGATTTCGCTTCGGGATTTTAATTAATTAACGACCCGACACGCTGGCTGGCCCGAACGAACAATTTGGTCAGACGATGCGTGTGGGGGGGAGGGGAGGGGGTGGGAGGCGATGGTGGTCGGAGATGGGTGGAGGTAAAGGTTCATTAGAACCTCGCGCAGCTTGAAATTCTGTCGACCACAATGTAAATAACTCACTCGTGCTTTATATAAAGCAGAGAGAAGACCTTTGTGCCAAAGAGCCACCCGTATGCGTTCATTAGGCGGTGTTTAGCGTAGTTACACCGGCACATTTTGAACCGTGCCGTCGCGCGTGAACACGTCCGTATCGTGTATTACACGTGTAGATGAATCGTTGAAAACGCATCGGCGCGGTAGAGAGCGGCGAGAGAGTATCGTCCGGAAACGCGAAGCCTCACTGTATCCGTCTGCTCGGATAGTGAATTGCACAGATGAAAGGAACCTAGTACAGTATATTAAGTACAATATATATATATATATATATATATATATATATATATTAAGAACTCATTGAATCGAGAGAAGTAGGAGATTGTTCTACAAATTTCGCGATTCTTTAGCTAACGATACGTGAAATAATGCGACGTTTGAGCTCGCGATATCTTATTCTTTCCGTGAAAGACGAGAATATAGGATGTAGCAAAAGGTGATCGAGTTAGTGTCGGTCCACAATAGGTGATTTAAGCTTTAAGAAGTAAGAAATTGACCAATTATAATCGAATATGAAAAGAATAATCGACTATGATTGGTCAATTTCTTACAACTTAAAGATTAAATACTTATTGTGGACCGACACTTACGCGTTACGAATCGTAAGTAGGTATATTTTTCACTGAGGGTACATAATTACAGGAAGCGGATAAAAAGACGTGAGATATTATAGATTGCAATTATCATCGCGAATCGGCCGAGTCGCATGATTACCTTGGTAAGAAATACGAATAATACGAAAGACAATAATTCCGATCTCTCAAAGCGATTCTCCAGAATCTGGTACGTCTCCTGGGAATATCGTGACTAACGAACGCCGGTATCACCACAGTGGAATATACGCCAATTAGCTCGTATTTTTCGTCAAAGAGATCAAACCCTTTTCTGTATTAGTACAGAAGCAGAGGTTACGGTCGTAAAGAGTCGTTGGTAGAGACAAAGTAGAGGCAATGTTGGAGATAATATCAAAGGATAGTTAAGCCGTAGTATATATAAAGCGTCGGCGTCAGAGAGCTTTTGCGATTTCTGTACGAGGAAAACGCGCTCTATGTTCTTTTTTGTAAATTTAATCTATCGTGTCACGCTGTTAATTTATTTTTTTATGCTGTTTTTCACAGACTTTTGTAAGGAATTGTCCGAGAGAACTTGTTAGAAAAGTTTGTGCGTATTCAGTAAAAGAACTGTAATATCAGAGAGAAATAAAGCGTAATGATTAGATAAAATGGGTTCGAAGAACTCCGGATCGTAATTTCAATGATAGTTTGCAAGGAACTCTTTCTTATAAGGCAATTTGCTATTTTTGATCATTAATCTTTCCCACATTAAATAATTAAAGCACTAATTTAGATTTTAAAGAAATAACATTACAGAAAAATGTAAATTGTAATAATAAATATAATAAGATTTTATTATGTTGTATCTCATAGATAGCGTTTATTCTCCCACTATGTTATAATAGATTCACGTTCAATAAATAATGTTTATTACAATGCTATAGTAATCAAATCATTTTATAACATAAATCGATATGTTTTCTGCATTTATTTAAACTTTATCATTCTCATTCTCAGTTCAATATCCTCTCGCGCGCGATATTTCCATATGGATCCAATTTGAGACCGGTTGAAAGATTCTGCCACTTGATTGATTTGTCGCGCATGTCGAGAGTTAATTAGCTTCGAGTAGGCGATGGTAACCTAAAGGTTCTTTAGCTGGCGATTTTAATCAAGCGATTAATCAAGCGATAGCCGAACATTATCAACGTCTATGTATGATCAAGACCATCTAATAACTCTGATTAATCGAATTTCTTATGATTTATCTAATTATTTGTATTACCTTTCTCTTAATTACTCTTACTATATCAAAAATTATATCAGAAATAATACATTTTTTGCTATCCTTTTTCATATAATTATCCAATACAATTTGACATAATATGTAGTATTTTAATGTTAATCTTTTAATCCATAATATTTATTTTCTTTTTGCAATAATACTTTATTTAAAGCTGTATTATCTGACAAATCTTAACAATTTAATGTCAAATTTTTT